TATAAAATTTTTATGAAAATAATCCGCACAAGCATTAAGGCTGTCCTCAGTAAATATAAATGTCCCAATGCAATGAGGAGGAAGAGAGTCAGAGAGCACAGCAGAATCTGATTGTGTCAAGTCTAAGGTCAGCCTCTCTGGAAGACCATCCACGGAAGAGATCCATGATCTCTCTGTGCCACAGTCCAATGCACCCGAGATTCTGGCAACTGACTTCTCTGGTGACTAAGCCCCAGTTGTATCTTCTCTGACTCTGCCCCCTTTATCCTCCTGCTTCTGGGCATTTTGTTTTATGACTAGAGCCTCCTCTTCCATCAGTTAAAATGTTTCATAATAAAAAGGCATTGTTTTATGAATTACTGATCTGTCTGATTCCTTTCTGAAACTCCAAATCACATAATTGATACTAGGGAATAGGACATGTAGAATATAAGATATCCTACTGTGCTGACTATTTGTTGGTTCTTAAAAAACAAAACAAAAAAAAACCACTTTGATTTGGTAAAGCAAAATGCTACCTTATAAAGATTCTTTTCCAATGAGTATCTTGGATACCTATGTAAAAATTATGCAAGATACCTTGAAAGACGCAATAACAGAGTAAACTTGATTCAACAGCATTCTGATTACTAATATTAAGCAAGACGTAAAATAAGACGTATATTTGCCGAAGCTGTTTTCCACAATCATGAAGGCAAAAGTCCAAGCAGAAGACAGTTTCACTACATATGGTGAGGTGCTCTAGAAGAGGACCCTACCAAAATCTACTGCTTGCAGATACCATTGTGCTGATAGCCTCAAACCTGGGAACATTTCAGAACCTCTTAAATGAGATACCGAAGAGTTTGGGCTAACTGTCCACATGGGAAAATTCAACGGGATAAAAAATGCCTATCATCCAAACTAAGCTATACAGTTGGATTGACCACTAACAGAACAAATCTATCAGTATATATGGGAAAGATGCTAGGAGAATTTTAATTAGTTATTTCTTTTTTTTTAATTTTTAACCTATGTTTTTAAAACTTTGGGTTCTGAATTTTCTCCCTTTCTCCCTCCCCATCCACCCTCATTGAAAAGGCAAGCATCTCGATACAGGTTATAGATGTATAGTCATGCAAAACACTTCCATAGTAGTCATGTTGTAAAAAACTGAGTATGTTTCCCTTGATCCTATCCTACCCCCCATTTATACCATTCTCTCTTTTGACCCTGTCCCTCCTCAGAAGTGTTTGCTTCTGATTATCCCCTCCCCCAATCTGCCCTCCTCTCTATCATCCCCCTGCTCTCTTGTCCGCTTCCCCGCCTATTTTCCTGTAGGGTAAGATAGATTTCCATACCCCATTGTGTATGTTTCCCTCCTTAAACCAAATTCTATGAGTATAAGATTCACTCATTCCCTCTCACCTTCCCCCATTTCCCTTCCACTGTAAAAGCCTTTTCTTGTCTGTTTCATGTGAGATAATTTACTCCATTCTACTTCTCCCTTTCTCCTTCTCCCAGTATAATCCTCTCTCACCCCTTAATTTTATTTTCCAGATATCACCCCTTCATCTTCAACTCACCCTGTGCTCTCTATCTATCTATCTATACACATATATAATTTTTTCCCTCCCACTACCCTAATACTGACAAAGGACTCATGAGTTATAAATATCATCTTTCCATGCAGGAATGTAAACAGTTCAACCTTAATAAGTCTCTTATGATCTCTCTTTTCTGTTTAGCTCTTCCATGTTTCACTTGATTCTTATATTTGAAAGTCAACTTTTATATTCAGCTCTGGTCTTTTCCTCAGCAATGCTTGAAAGTCTCCTATTTCATTGAATGACCATTTTTTACCCTGAAGGCTTATACTCAGTTTTGCTGGGTTTAATTAGTTATTTCTAAACAGGAAGTTTTAAAAGGAAGAAGTACAAACTATTAATAGCCATATAGAAAAAAAAATGGTCCAAATCATTATCCATGACCTAGACTCAGAGTTGAACAAGAAGGGGGAAAAAAGCTGAATAGCTTTGAGAAATTGCACAATACTTTGAATAATAAATGAATAAATAAATGGAAAGGCATTTGTTAAGCATTTACCATGTTATATAAATACACATGTGAGATAGTCCTTGCCTTTAAAGAACTTAAATTTAGGGTAATAAAATTATCCAACCTACAATAAAAGAGACTGAGGCAGAGATCTGAGCCAATTGCACTTTATTAAAAGGTCCATGGTCCCCTCTAATGAAGTGGCTCTCAGATCTTCCTCATGATCGGAGGTGTCCCCTCCTTCCAGGGCCCTATTTTTATAGGTTTAGATATCTAAACATTCAAGAACAGCCATACCAGATACAAAACAATTCCATTGGTTGACTTATATAAGCAAAAATAATCTGTCAGTAGGGTCACAAATTGGGTGAAACAAAGAATATTGCCACTGACTAGGTGGTCACAAGGTGGTCATAAGATGAATGAAGCATAGATCATCTCCACTGAGTAGGTGGTCATAAGACGGTCATAAGATGTACACCTGCTCATGTTGGACAAGAAAGAATGGTCTGGAAGTACAAAAATAATTTTGGGGGAGTTTCCATGTAGTTGAGTCACCTCTGCTACACTGGGCTTGGTCACCATGACAAACAGAAACAAGGGTGGAGGGCCTCTAGCTAGCTTCCTATGATTACACAAGTGACCTTACCATCTGCAGCTCACAACTCTGGGCCAAATATATAGAACTTATAATCCCTACCCACATTATATCAAACTGACCAATTAGAGTTTGATTCGGGGTCCTCAAGGAATCAACTTTCTCACATTCTCATGAGGGAAGAATACACATGGTGACCAGGGAGTTTTGGTCAGGGAAGTCACAGCCCTTTCTTAAAGTAACAGTCATTTGCCCTTCATTTTCAAAGAGGGCTAATGACATCATGGATGATGTTTTGGCTTGTGCATGAATTTGGTTTAAGTGAGGCAGAGTTGCACAAAGTCGTCAGCCTCACTCTCTCTTCCTGAGTCATCCAAGTCTAGTAGCAGGGAAAAGGTCAGGATAACTGGTGATGGCCTGGGATGTAGAGGATGAGCTTAGAGTCTTTGATGTCTGCCCAAGCTCTTAGCACTCCATGCAGGGCCATCTCCAGTCATGCTGGACCCAGATGGCTCCAGAGGAGAAAGTGAGGCTGGTAACTTTGCACAACCCCTCCCTCTCTTAAATCCAATTCCCTTGCAAGTTGTGACATCATCTTCCTGATGCCACAGTCCTCTTTGAGAATGAAGGACAGAGAACTAGCACTCCGTAGCACCTACTTCAGCTGCCTTCATGGCTGTTAAAATGAATTGTTCTCATCTGCCCATTCTGCCAGGAAAGTCTTTGTGTGTTTGGGGTAGACATCCCCCTGACTCCTTGACAGGGCCCGTCAGTGACCCTCCACCTGGTTGAGTCTGTCTGCTGAGAAGGTTTACCAGGGGGTGGCTGCTAAGCAGGCTGCAGCTTCTTGGAGCCACAGGTGACAGCTGAGTGACAGGTAGATGCCAAAGGTGGATGAGCAGTCCTGAAAAAGCTCAGAGAGCCCTCACACTAGAGGGGCTAGTCCTCCTGAAGACCCCATACACTTAAAGTAACAGTAGTATTGATTGAATTGTTGCACCCAAGCAAGAGGTGAGGCCAGGAAGAAAGTGAGGACAGGAGGAACAGAGAAAGAGCATGTTAGAAAGGTAGAAGGCAAGATGGCCAGGGGTAGAGCATGGGATAACTCCAAGCTTCTCTCAGAATGAGGTGCATTTTTTTAACCATGATAATCTGGTGATACTGTATGGCTTCAAGTCATGGAATGCTATGATCTCTGAAAAATTCTATAATTTAAGATCACCTAAAAAGTAATGGGGAGGTCAACCATACGATAGATATGAGTACACTGTAATATATTATTTATCAATGAAGCAGAGGAAGCTTCATAAAAGACATCATCAGAAAAATGTATGTCTAGAAAAGATGGTGGGTTTTTTAGGGGTTTTTTTTAGATTAATAACATCTTTGCTTTTGAAAAACAATTCGAAGTCATGTTCACATAAACACTGATGTTACAAAGTACAGGGAAGGAAGTGAAACCTCTGCTGTGGCCCCAAACAAGACCAGGATGCCCTCTGTCCCTTGGACAGAGGACTTAGGATAAACCACAAATAAAACTTCCTTTGGGTTGAGATACATTGCTCCCTTCTGAAAGGGCAAGTAAAATGCAGGGGAACTGGTTCCGTATGATGGCTAGGATTTTTGGCAAATCTCCTCAGTCACCAGAGATATTGCTGTACTGTTAATAAAAAAAAAAAAATATGGGGGGCAGCTAGGCGGCGCAGTGGATAGAGCTTTGGCCTTGGAGTCAGAAGAACCTGAGTTCAAATCCAGTCTCAGACACATGACACTTACTAGCTGTGTGACCCTGGGCAAGTCACTTAACCCCAATTGCCTCACCAAAAAGCAAAAGAAAAAAAAGTTTCTCTTTATTTAAAGCGTAAAAAAAATTCCATAGGCGATATTGTGGAGGCCTCTCCTATGTCTCCAATTGCAATGCCATCTTCTCCCTGCCCCTGCCATGTGTTACTTCTTGGTTGTTTTGAGGAGTCACATAATGAAAGCAAAGGGTAATAACCAGACAGCTTGAATATCCCATTGATACCCATATAACATCAAGGGATCTATAGGAAGGCCCCTGGATCTCCTAAGAAGAATTTATGAAAGGATATGAACAAAAGTCACCCAGTATAGCCAAGTTATTTTGTCTTTAGCCACCTCTATTTAGATTTGGCCAGGAAATACTATATAAGCTAGACAAGTAGACATAATTTTTCCCTAGAAATCATCTTGCCAGTAAGCACTTGGCAGGAAAGAAAAAAGCAAACAAACCAGGGATCGCTTAAGAGTGTGATACAAATCTCCCTGAGAGTGTTCTGCTTAATGTGGGGTTTCTGCCTTTGGTACTCAGCCATTTCACCGATCAATATGTCATATTCTGCAGGTGGAATTGGTTGCCTGGGTCGAGACAAAGGCCAAGTTCGTAAATGCCTTGATGCTGTGGAGATCTACAATCCAGATGGGGATTTTTGGAGGGAGGGGCCCACGATGCCAACTCCCCTGCTCTCCCTTCGAACCAATTCTACCAACGCAGGAACAGTGGATGGAAAGCTGTATGTCTGCGGGGGTTTTCATGGAGCAGGTATTGATTAAAATGGAAAATGTTGCATGCTTTAATGATGTGGCTTTTGCATTCCAAATTCATACCTGCAGTAGTGGTTTAAGCACCTTTTGGGTATGTGCAAATGTTCTCATGGAGCTACAATGGCCCAACCTTCGGCCAGTCATAGGAGCAGAATCCCAGTGAAGTCATTGACTGCAGAGCTTCTACACAAGAAATAGCTTGTTGATTGTCTTCTTTCACATTAAAACCTCTGGAGACTTTGGGTAGCCTTCAAGGCCTTGTTGAATCTTCCAGTCCAGGAAAACAAGGTTGGCACCAAGATCTAATTTATCAGAAAGAAGGGAAGCAAATTAAAAAGCATGGAGGTTGGACACTGGTAATGTTTGGTGGGCACTTCTGGATTAAAGAGGAGATGGAAACCAAGCTTTTTCTTGCCTATACCCTGACCTGGACTGAGTTTCAAAACTGTAGGGTAAAAAGGGAGACTCGGTCAGTCAGTCCTTCAGTAAGTGATTAATAAATTAATTTTATTATTATTAAATTTAATAAATGAATAAAGTCAGGCCTTCATTAAGTGATTATTATGTGTGAAAGGTGCTGAGGAAAAAAAGAAAAGCAAAAACAGGCCCGCCTTCAAGGAGCTCACATTCTAATGGGGGAGATGATATGCAAACCATAATGCACATACAAGGTATAGACTGATAAATGGAAGGTGATCTCAGAGGGATGGGGACTGGGAAAGGCTTCCTGCAGGAAGATTTAAGCTAAGTCTTGAAAGAAGTCAGGGAAGCCGTGAGGTGAAGATGAAGAAGGAGAGCGTTGTAGGTATAGGGAACAGCCAAGAGAGTGTTGAGTTCGAGGATGAAGGCCATTGTCACTGGTTCATAGAGTGCACTTGGAAGGGAATAAGGTGACGGAGCCTGGAAAAGAAGGCCTCACTACATAGCTCCCTCTTTGACTCAGATGTTGGGAAATCTAAATACTCTGATGGATTTCTTACAGCACTGCTGTGCTACCAAAATGGAGCCTTTGTTCTTAAATTGTACAGTAGAAATAGAATTCAAAGAACCAGGCAAACACTTGCTTTTATCATCCCTTTAGAATTATTATTTTAATCCTCATTTTCCCTACCACTTACAATAAATTACTTAAAATTCATTTTTAAGTGCTGTCTAATGCACTTATACATTCGTCAATTTAAATTCTTTAATGTCTCATTTTTAGCATTGCTGTGTCTGATACAAAAGCACATTGAACCATCATTGTAGTTGCAAGATGGGTCCAATTTCTCAATGTAACTCTTAGGTTTTAAAATGGGCATAAATCCGGCAAGCAAAAAGCTCAAAAGATTGATTGGTTGCATCAGTAAATGAGGTCGCAGTATTCAGGATGACTAACTGTTTAATTCTAACCTCAGTAAGAGGAGCACTGTGCTAACATATCTATGGAAAACATGCCTCAGGAACACTCATGCTCTGGCAGAGAGCCAGACAGGATCACTGTAACTAGGGGCAAGGCAGGGCCTTTTTATGTGCTCATGTTCATGTTAATGAATTCATAACCGAATATAATTGTAAGTGGAAAGTTCTCTACTTGTTCTTCTGAGTTCTTAAGAGTTGAACAACTTCTTACAAGGCCTGATAAAAACATTACATGGCAAGTATGAATACTGGCAATCGGTTTGTCCAAGTAAGGAAAAGCAAGGTTCCTAGGCCCATGGCAGAGCATCATAAATAGGTCCTCAATGTCCAATGGGCATTGAGAGAGAAAGAAAGAAAGAAAGAAAGAAAGAAAGAAAGAAAGAAAGAAAGAAAGAAAGAAAGAAAGAAAGAAAGAAAGGAAGGAAGGAAGGAAGGAAGGAAGGAAGGAAGGAAGGAAGGAAGGAGAAAAAAGGAAAGAAAGGAAGGAAGCAAGGAAGGAAAGAAGAAAAGAAGGAAAGAAGAGGAAAAAAATGAGAGAAGGAGTGAGAGAGAGAAAAAGAAAGAAGGATGAAGGAAAGAAGGAAGGAAGGAAGCAAGCTGAGCTTTACATCAGTAACTGAGTGTTGCTCTACCTTGAGGAGGAAATCAGGTTTTTCTCCTTTATGCTGCATGGGGGTTCTCTCTCTAAAGTCTCTAGATATGAGTTGAAAGTCAGGGACATGTAGAGGAGCCTACATGTTTGTAGCTTCTAAAGTCATGTCTTCTCCGCTCCCTGGAGTGTCCTCTGTCCATGTACCTCTCCCCTAAAGACTCTCTGGAGCCACACCTGTCTCTCTTCCAAGAAGCTCTGCAACCAATCACATCGCTTACAAAGATATGCAGCATCCTACTCAGCTTTTTCTCCATCAGTCTGGAGTCCATCTCCTTCTAAAGGCTATTTGAATACAAAATGCCCCAGGCTTGCTTGAAACACTGGTTACATATAAAAAAATAAACACAAAGAAATCAGGGGATAAGGAAAGGCCTAGGGTAAGAACTGGTTCTTGGGCTAAGCTTTCAGGGGAGAGTAATCAAACATGGGAGATGAATTGTACAAGAGGTAGATATGGGCTGTCATGTATGGGGAACAGGAATTAGGACAGTTTGTCTGAAATGTATCATGGATAAGGAGAAATTATGTAAAATAGGTCTAGGGAAATAAGCTGGACCCAGATTTTGAAGGTATTTAAATACCAATAAAGGAGCTTCTGTTTAATGCTAGAGGCAACAGAGAGCCATTGAAGCTACCTGAGCAAGGGAATGATAAGGTCAGACCTATGCTTTAGAAATATCAATTTCACAGCCATATGGAGGCCTTTCCTCTGTTTATTATTTGCTATTTATCCTATATTTGCTTTGCATATATTTGTTTGCATGTTGTCTCCCCCATTAGACTGTAAGGTACTTGAAGGCAAGGATGGTCTTCTGCCTTTTTTGGCATCCCCAGTGTTTAGCATAGTTCCTGGCACGTAGCAGTTACTTAATAAATGTTTATTGGTTGATTGACTGATTGGAGGATGGATTGAAAAAGGAAGAGAATGGAAGCAAGGAGACCATTGTAGTCAAGTCATCCAGGTAAGTAGTGTTAAGAGCCTGAACTTGGAAGTAAATGGGCTCAAGAGATGTTGTGGAGCTGGGATCATTGACTTCATCTTAATCTGTCTCCTTGGTGACATATCATAGTCTTGTCTCCATACAGGTAGGTGAGTTCTTTCATGATTCTTTAACTTTTGGCTAATATTGTGATGCTTAAAAAGGTTTGAGAGACATTGTTTCTGGGTAATTTAAACAGTTTATTAATAAGGCCAGCAAGTTATTAATAAAAGGATGGTCATTTGGTGATCATCTGAGATGGTCAATTTTAGAACAAAAACAATCATGGCAATGGCTTATAGTTTATATACTCTTAGATGTTCAATGTGAAGCTAAGTATGACATCGTCAAAAATATCTCTATACTCAGACCACCTCAGCCTCAAGCTATCAGGATAAAAGCTTGAGTAGAACCCAATGGGCTTCCCCAACTTAGATTAAATTCCTTGTAAAGTTGGGTGGGATCTGACCAAAATAAGGAGAGTTAATGCAATCTCATCATCTGCAATGTCCTTCAAGAAACTGAACTTTTTAAAATTTAAAATACTTTTTAAAATGTAAAAAAAAATTTTTAATTTAAATTTAAAATTTAAATTAATTGAGGAATTTAGAAGAATGAGAGAGCTCTGAATCTCCCCAAGATATTGGCTATTAATCATCATTTCTTTCATCATTGTTCATGTCTAATAATAGAAAACTCTCTTCCTGAAGTTTTTTCTTTTTTTCTTTTTTTTTTTTTGAGACAATTGGGGTTAAGTAGCTTACCCAGGGTCACACAACTAGTAAACATCAAGTGTCTGGTCTGAGACTGGATTTAAACTCAGCTCCTCTTGACTCCAGGGCCGGTGCTCTATTCACTATGCCACCTAGCTGCTCTGCCTAAAGTCTTTCAATAAGAGTGTTTGACCCTTCTGGAATCTGACCTCTTCTACAGGGGTTTGAAAAATCCGTGGTGTCCAAATCTTTATAAATATTATGAGCTGTTCCTCTATATGTTTTAGGCTGTGGAAATTGCTTAGTCCTCTACAAATCTATCTTATTTACACTTGCTTTAGGATAAAGGGGGGAGGGTCAATAAACCTTCATTTATTCAGCAAATACTGATGATGTATCTACTCTATGTATCATCCTGTGGTTTCCTATTTTTAAATGTATCTTTATGCTTAATGCCTCCTAAAATCATAGATTTGGAACTGGAAGGAGCCCTTAAACATTCATGCAACCTCTTCATTTTACTTTGGGAAACAGGTTGAGCGACTTGCCCAAGTCAGAAAGGCAGTAATTTGCAGAACTGCTTTCAAACTCAGGTCCTCCTGAAGACGTCTAGGACTTTGGGGTGCTGCTAGAAGCCCAACATCGCAGTACCGGGCCCTGCCTGAAAGATTTCAATTCAAATCTTCTTCAGCCAGAGGAAAAGTTTATTAGTGATAAAATATATAGGCCAGGTGACGCCCATAAAGACGAGCGGGCATGAGAGGTTCTCAGCCTTTTGGGCCTGAGATTCTCAGCATCTGAATGAGGGCCAAGGTGGATCTTAAATACTAAAGTAACTTTGGGTGGCCAGAGAAGGGGGTTGGGAAAAGGGTCTAGGTAAGAATTCTAATTGGGGAGGTCTGAGAGATTGAATAGACAATGGGAATAGATAATGAAATCAAAAAGGTGGGGCTAGGGCTTTCAAAGGGAGATGAGGGGCTGGTGCCTGTAGACAAATGGGAGCCAGATTCCCTTTGGTGCAAGGGGCAAAGACTGCGGCTTGGGCCACACCCCATCACTCTATCTTTGAGTCTACTCCTCTTTCCGGCCATGTTACATTGTCCCTCCTTAAATATGTTGATGAATTGACTGAATGCTCTAGAAGTTCCAGGTTTTCCTTTCTTTTGTACAGTTTCAAGGAAAGGGCCCCACTAGAAAGGTTAACAGGTACCATAGCCAAGCTTTCCATTAAGCTGACCAAAGTGGATCTTTT